TAGCCACATTTTGAGGGCTTGTTAACTAAACATATAGTACTAAACCAAAAAAAAAAAAAAAAATCTGTAGCTGTTGAGCCAATTCTGACTCATGGCAGAATTGTGTTGCAAAGTAGAACTGCTTCATAGGGTTTTCTTGGCTGTAATATTTACATAAGTCGATTGTCAGGCCTTTCTTTCTTCTGGATTTGAACTACCAACTTTTCGGTTAGTTGTTGTTGTTGTTGTTGTTATGTGCCGTCGAGTCAGCCCTGACTCATAGCGACCCCTCCTTGGGTTTCCGAGGCAGTATCACTATGGAAGTAGTTTAGTACAAACCACCTGGGAGCCATATTAGACAGTGCAGCTCTAGTGGGACACAATGGAGGTGGAAAATCTAACAAGGGATCCAAGCATTAGGTGGGGGTGGGATGAAACAACTTGTCAGCCATTGCCTCTGTGCTGAAAGTCTGTCTTCAGAATCTTACTACTGGAGTTTTGTCCCAGTACTTAGTATGTTCACTTGAAAACTCTGAACTGGTGCTGCATGTACTCCCAAGGGAAAGCAGTTATGAAGAATCCCTCACGGCCAAGCTATTTTCAGCTACAGAAGAATTGTACCTGGATGAAAAGCCTACTTGGATTTGGGAAGTTAATTTTTGATTCTTGCATCTTCTCTTTTTATATGAGTACTCAGTAGACCAATTACAGTAATTTTTTTTTTTTTAATCTATAACTGAGTGAAAATAAATTAGCTTCTATGTTGTTTTCTTTCTATGTTATTATTAAGAAAAAGAAAGAGGGCTTATAAACAATTTTTTAAGCAGGAAAAAAAATCAAATCGAGTTATTTTCTTTGGCAATTCTTGGGTATATAAGATGAGTTTAGAGATTTTATGACATGTGAAATTGTATCTCCTTTCTGGTCATTTCTAGGTAATCAGAAACTCTATTTTCATGGTCAAGAAGTATATTTTTTGAGAATCTGTGTGGGACTGGTGTCCTCCTATACTATTTGTACAAATAAATGAAGGAAGAAAAAACGTTGTCATTTTGAGCATTTTATTGAAATTGAAACAACACTTTACATTTCCTTAATATATTATTATTAAAATTAAGTAATACACACAAAAGACTTTGTTATCAAACATTTGAGACTTAACTAATCTTTGATAATCATACTGAGCATCAGAGAAAGAGTGTAGCTTAGGAACGTGCAGTAATTAAGGTTGTGTGTCAACCTGGCTGATTTTGAGTGGCTAGGCAGCTGGATGTAGTTATTCCCCATGATGAGATTGTAATCACCTCCATGGTGGAATCTGCTGTGAGCAGCTAAGCAGTTGAAGGGTAGTTACCTTTGGGGTGTGGCCTGCTTCCAGTATATATGGAGAAGGTTTGGAAAAGGTCTCTAGTCTTCTGGCACATCTAGATACTGCATTTGGCCGAGTCTTCATCTCCAGTT